ATATATTAATTTTTTAAATAATTTTATTTTGTGTGTAAATATCTTTTGCTTTTATTTTGATAATGTTAAATAATTCAATTATAAATTTATAAATTTGAATAGTTGGAAATGGAAATAGTTATGTTTTAGTCCACCAGATGACACGACAGGCAATTTTGCGTGCTTAAAAATAAGAATATTTATGAATTTTTTTTAAATATTTTTTTTAAATATTAAAGTATTTAAATGCAATGATTATTTTTATACATTTTAAAAATAATTATTTAATTTAAAAATTTGTAGTTAAAATTTAAATTTTTTTAAAAAAATTAACGTAACGTTCTTTTGACGTAATAATTACACAATGACGTATTTTAAATAGTCCAATAAATTTTAATCGAATTAAATTTAAAAAGAAAGGTGAAATTGACATTTTAACGTATTTTTCTTTTGTAGTACGTGGTTTTTTTTGCGGGGAAAAATACGAGATTATAAATAATAGAAAAAAAGATACACTCGTAACCGGAAATTTAGGGTTTTTTTTCTTTTATTTAAAAAATGAAGTTTAAATAATTAAATATGTTTTCACAAAATGCTTTTTTTTAACTTATTAAATAAGTTAAAAATGCAATTGATTGGTAGAAAATGCTATTTTTTTAAAGCGTAAATTTTAAACAAAATACATTAAATCAATATAAAAATATTCATTTCTTTAGCTGTTTAATTATGCATTAGATGGATATTCTTTTTACTTTTTTTAAAAATAGAAATGATAAGTTTTTATAATGTAAATCCATACTAAATGAGATTTCTTCCATCTTCTCCCTTAAAAATATAAACATCATTTTAACAAGATTGAGTGTACAGGTAATTGCTTTAGAAATACTCACCTGCTGATCAATCTCTACTGGTATTTCTTCGTTAAATTAACATTAATTTCACTAGAAAATTGATCATTTTTAAATCCTGTACACCCACGTCTATACACTTATTAAAAAATAAAGAAAAAAAATTAAGGAAAAAAAAGCGTTAGGGTGATAGATAAATCCGTCTGTCGACTGTCTGACATAGATTTTTATTTATTTATTTATTTTCTGCCGTGTTTAATATGCGCAGATGAGTAAATACTAATAAAAATCGAAGCTTGTTTTATTGAAGACGCCAAAGATAAATTGAGAACTTTACACCTGTCGTAGGAAGAGGAGAAGCTGCATTAGTAATTTCTTCTCGAGATGTCCACGTTGTCATAGTAACAGTGATTACATCGATAGAAATGTCATTTGTAAAACAATAATGTAAATAAGATGTAGTTGTCGTCTTGTTAGAGCTTGCTTCGTTTGCTGATGATTAATGACGTTTTAATGATTTAATAACGTTTTAATTTTAATTAAAACGGTAATTTCCTCTTTATATTTTTTTATTTTATTTTTTAGATTCATTTCTCTCGTCTCACAGGATTATATTTGGAGTGGTGAGAGTTGAAAAACATGTAAAAAAATCGAATATTTTTTTAGAGTTAGGTAAGTGTTGGAAGGGTTTTTCAATAGGTAAGAAAATTGTAGACTAAATCCACCTGTTGAAATGAACCGGGCGCAGGTGTAACAGCGCAGAATCCAGGTGAACCTGTTTTCCCAGCAACACATTGGAGGAATTGCTAGAAATTGGTAGAAGTCTCTCATCTCACCATTCTATCTTTATCAGGTAAGTTACTCAATTTTATACCTTAGCAACCCTACAGAAATTTTATGGTAATTTTTCTATTTTTAATCAATAGAAAAAAAATCTTTTAAAAATGTTATTAATTAATAAAAATCAATTTAAGAGATTTATTGCCTTGTTAAACATGTCAATTAAAATCTATTTTAATTATCTTTAAGCATTTTAATAACTTCTCCACTAGAAATTATTCTTAGAAATAATTTAAAAACTATGTATATATCTTTAATAATATAATATAAATTTTAATTTTATTAAAAAATTTGATGAATAAAATTTAATTATTTTCCTACCTTGAAGTGATTTTAGTGGATTTTCTTGTGTAAAACGTGTAATTAAACTTTCATTTTAATTTTTTAAAGAAGTTTTACTGAATTTAAAAAAAAATTAAACTATACATTTACCTTTTCTCGAAGTGTAAATGTACTGTACCTGTAAAGCTTTTTAAGCAGAATAAATTGTAAAAATTCTAAGATGTATCTGGATAATCAAGCTATCATCATAAAAGATTTGAAGCCCTCTTCTTCTCGGTTGCAGAGTAAGTAAGGAGAAGGATTAGAGACCACAATGGGATTCCCAATGTTTTATCAAGGAAGCTGATAAGATCCCAAACAAGCTATTTTAGAGAAGATAGCATCATGACAAATAAGCTGATAGAATGGATAGATTACTTCTATGATCAGATAGCTTTATGCTTCACTTAAATCTTTAAAAAAAAAACTACACTAAAACTCTTGAATCCTATTTACAACTTTTAAAGATTTTATTGAGAAAATACAGCATTAATTGGTCGCGCAGATTATGCAGATAATTATCTGCTTATCAATACGAAATATGGAAACTGAGGAAGGAAAAAAAATATATTGTATTTTGTAAAAATTCAATATAATTTTGCCTGACGTTTACAGTATCAAAATAAATTTTATCTGTCATTCAAATGTCAGATGTGTTTACGATCAAGACAGCTTTCGGACGTTGTTTTCTAGTAATTCCATATAAATTTAAACTTTAAAAAAAAATTAAGTTTTCTCAGTTTAGAGAATATTAAGAAAGTACAGTATTACGAGTGGGACTTCTATTATACGCTGCGCTATAACGCAATAAAATGGATCGTCTCTCAATTTTCTGCATTGTGTAAGTAGGGATGCATCATAAAGAATCGATTATTAAAACATTATTTTTCTATTTTGCAAATGATGTAAATAAAAATACATCATATCTGACGTCATCTGTACACTTTCCCTGTTTATAATACCGTATCAACATCCTTGAAAAAAAAAAATATATATATATATATATAATAATAATAAAAATCAAATTACATGCAGCAATATTTTATTCAACATATTCGTATATTGCTTTAGCATGTAAATAAATCTACTTGATTAAACAGTACTAGAATTTTACTATTGGAAGAATTTGTCTGTATGTATTCCTATGGGAAACAGCCTTGTTTGTATTCTCAATGAAGAACATTCATACAAAGTAAATAAAGTAGGCGATAAGTAGGAATTACACTCCTTTATGTAGAGGATAACATCATCAAATGAATTTTTTTTCTAGAATTTTTTTTACTCTAAAACAAACATGTTTCTCGTTGTTTATTTAAAGCAAGAATTGAAAACATCCTGAAAAATTAAAGGGGAAAAATATATATATCTGTGTATATACACAAGTAGATTCTCAAGAGGATTAACATGATGAGATTTTTTTTAAAGAGAGCCATACTTTAAGGGATAAAAAGCTATGAAGGTCGTTAAATACGTAAAAAATGGCGTGTTTTTATATAAATTCCCGCAACTAGAGTAACGTATTTCTTATTTATGTCACGTGATAAATTCAGATTTCTCCGCATCCGCATAGAACCGTTGCATATGGAAGCCATCACAGACCTTTCCTACTATCTTTCCCCTTGCAAAAATGGGGTTCACGTGCTGTTGAGCGGGGTTTTTTTTTATAATGCAATCCTTAAATTAAAACTCTACGCTAAAGTCTGCACCGCTCCCAAAGCTCTTAAAGTATTAAAAAATAAAATATAAAAAAAGCATCCCGGAATTCGAGAGATGCGCGTGTAGCCTTAAAAATAAAATTTAAAAAAATTGTTTTTAGCTTTTTTTTATTAAAAATTCCGGATTATTTTCCGAATTTTCGGAAATTAATATTACGGAAAAAATATTTTTTAAAAGAAAATGAAAATTTCTTCTATGGTTATATTTAAAATGAAGTAGAAAAGTAAGGAAAAAAGATCAGATTCTGGAGACAGTCGCTATGGCAACGGATGAACATTTTTGTTCTCTGACGTCATTCTGTGATAAGTCGAGACATCTGCTATTGAAACTGTACGTGGTCAATTTTATTTTAAATAATTTAGTGTATGAATTATGAGCTTGGTCATGAGCATTTTATTTTACTTATTTTTATTTATTTATTTTTTGTANCATTTCTGGACCTATTAAAGAGACAATTAGAGGGAAAAAAGTCAACATATTGAAGAAAAAAAAACATCATTTTTTATCAATTAGAGTAGCTATCTCTTTGATAGAAAACATAAAGATCTATACAATACACAATCCATATTTTCTTTTTTTCAGTTAAAATTAATAAAAATGATCTGAAAAATTATATTTTTAACTTTAAAAAATTATTATTTTACTACTTATCCTTGAAGTATCATTAAGAATAATGCTAAAGATGATGCTGTCATCGAAGTTTAGTAAGTTAAATTCCGACTTTGTCGAGTTCTTTGAATTTTTTTACCTTTATTTTTATAATTTTTAATATAATTTCTTCCATGATTTTATTGACTTCCTCGAGTTTATAACAAATTTAAATATAGTTAAAGTTTTATAAAAACCAAAACACGATAAAGTGAGTGCTTACCCATGTTAGAGAAGATCGTAGCTCTTCTAAAAATAGAATTTCTTGCATTATCTTTGAAAAAGTTTAATTAATGTGAGGTTTATTATGTAAATTTGCAAAATATCTTAACAAGATCTAAATAATTTTCATATAATTCCGCATATTTTACGTGTTTTTTAAAATACCATTTTGCTTTTTACACCGTATAATTTTTAATGCACGATTAAAACTTACTTAAAATTAAAATTATATATTAATATTTTGCTAAATTTTCTTAAAATAAACATTTTAAAACATATTTTCATGGAATATATAAGAAAATTTACATATTCTACAACAGCTCTCCATTGCCCCGCATCCTCTTATGAGGAAAGAGGATGCAGAGCAAAGGAAAACGAATCAAAAATGTTAATTTATTAACTCTTAAATAGCAAAAAAAGTTTCAGAACTCAAAATTTCCAATTTACATACAAAAAAATCCATTTTCTTTAAAATAATGATGCGGGAATGTTTGCATCGCTGCATCTTTCATGAGGCCATATACAAAACAGTGTAATCTATACTAAACTTGAGAGGGGCAAAATGTATCTTTATGTTTAGAATTATGTTACGAGCAACCTCATAAACCTTTTTAATGATGATTTATCTGTTTTGGAGGAGCCTAAATCTGACCAGTTGCGTTTAAATAAATAAAATAGACAACATGCTAACCTCAAGTCACCATCTTTCTAACTTAGTGCCATCTTTGTCATCATATATAACGCCTTTAAACTCTAAATTTTTCAATATTTATCAAGTAAATTAATCGATATTAATGCCTAGTTTTATGCCCCGTTAATCGTGATTAAATTTATAATATAATTACGAAGATAATTAACATATTAATTGCGCTAATCTTTTTATCTTTAAGACATAGATAATAATGGTTACTTGGACCTGTACGACTTCGAATGCTTGGCTTTGGTGAGTTTAAGTGTTACATTTAATTATTTTTAAAGCCTCTAAAGCATTTTTCTTATTACTAAGCCGTTTTTACAGACAGACAGACAGTAAAATATAATCTTTAACTTACTGTTGATTCAATAAAAACATCATAAAATTAATAATAGAAATTCTGAGGTTAAATTCTATTGATTTTTGTAATTTTCCTGCAAGAGTTTGTTACATGTATTTTTAATTTCTCCTTTATTATGTAAGAGAAGTGGGAATAAATATGTAATAAACTTGAATATCCTATTCTTACGCCACTTATTCTGCAGAAGACTAAGTATTTTTGGGGATGCGCTGCTAGATATTAACATACCTACATAAAAAAATATATTCTACATAACATTAACTTTATAATAAAATATCCATATAAATTGTTCTTAATTTATTTTAAGAATAAAATTGCAAACTACTAATATTAAACAATTGGATTTTTACTATCATTTAGGAAGTAAACACATCTTTAATGGCCACCAGGGAAATTTTGGTGTTAATTTAATATTTTAGGAGTCCCTGTTAAATTTTCTAAAAAGCAAGTTAATGTAATTAATGCATTCTTCTATATGAAAGAACAAAGAGAAAGCGATTTATCATAGTCTCATAAATGCCCAATGTGTTCGGTTTGGATCGATGAGTGTCAAGCTGAGAAAAACTTACAACCGTGTCCTGTATAATAACCTTTATTATTAAGAATTATATTATTGTTCCATCAAATTTTTTGTAAATTATGTAAATAAATATATTGAGTTTTTACTGTAGATTCATTATATAGACTATAAACTAAGTGCATATGTAAAAAAAAAAAANAAAATGGCCAGTTTTTGGAGGTTAATTTGTGTGCATTTCTATTTTAAAAATGTTCGTTGTTCGGAGGTTATTATGTAGATTGCATTTAATAAACGTTCTTGAAATGACCGTTGTTCCGAGGTGGCCTTCATTACAGGTTTCTACTGTATACAAAAGAGAATGGCAATTTTTTATGATGAAATTATCGATTTAGTTTATAAGTAAGAAAAATAATTTGTCATTTTTCATGTTCTCCGAACAATTATCAAACAAGCGTGTAAATGAATCTTGCTCGGAAAAAAAACACTTCTAAATATAATGCTCATGGAGATAGAAGTTAATAATTGCAGGTATAGAATAACAATAACAATTATGTTGCTATAATGGAAAGTTATTGTTAGTCGCTCCTAGGTTTGTACGGGAAAATGACGCACTTTGTACGTGAAAATTCGATATTTTAAAGGTTTATCTTGTAAAAATGATAATAAATTATTAAAAAATTTTAATTAATTGATTAAAACTTACAAATTTTGAACAGTTTATTATGATTTTAGACAGATTAAATTGATTAAAATAAGATTTAAAATAGTGCGCGTTATACGCGAATAACTGACATTTTAAAGGTTTATCCAGTGAAAATTATAATAAATTATCGAACATTTCGGTTAATTGATTAAAATTTCGATAACTTATTATGATTTTAAACTAAATAATTACGTGTAAATTGATTAAAATATATAAATTTTCAGCAATAAACACCTCAACGTCGGTCTTTTACGCATAAATGCATCGTTTTAAACTGTATTTTAATCAATTAATAATTATTATAATCATAAATATCAATAAAAAAAATAACTAAAGAATTTGTTTACGTCACACAAAGGGTGGCCCAAAAATCCGTTAACTGCTGTAAAAAGTAAATTGCCATTTACCACGTTTAGAGTTTTGCGAACAATTCGGCAATTTTGTGAACAATTCAGCGAATTGTTCGCAAAATACTCGGTCAGCTAACTTTTGGGTCACCCAGTACGTAATTAAATTATTAAAAACTTGTTTAAAATTAAGCTTAAAATAAATTAATTGAGGCGATAATTCCGGTAAATCTTCGGTGATGATTTGCAATAAATTCATGCTAATTTAATGCTAATTTTAGGGTGGCCAAGTGTCTATAGACGATTTTACACAAGGATTACAGAATGCATGCGTTGGAAAGAAATTTTCTCGCCTACCAAATTCCCTGCAAGACGTCATCACTTGTAAATTTAACACTATTGATCTGGATGGTAAAAATTCTTCCACCAGTATGTGACTTTGTTTTAAACGCTTATATACAATATTCACGCGCTCATAAATGTAATGTAAGTAAGCTAATTTCCTGTGGAAACAATCTAAATATATAAATACTTTTTTTATATATATATAAATCTAGGTGATGGCCTGATCACGTTGGAGGAATATCGCTTGGATTGCATCTGTTGGTGTGCCTACAAGGATATAAGTGCGATAGATGATTGCTTTAATAAATTATTAAGCGTAAGTTTATTCAGGAAATTTAATTAAAATAAAGAAGATAATTGTAATTAGTATTCTTTTTTATATAATTAGGAGGAGGATAAGATGGTAGAGGGCATCTCTCTCAAACGTTATCAGGAATTATACGCTCAATTCTTAGGATGCCCTGGCACAGACAAAGCAGGTGTTTACTTATTTGGTCCAATATCGGTTTTGGGAAATTAAATATTTAATATATATATATAAATTTTCTCTTTAAAAATTATCAATGCTCAGTTAGCACTTTCACTCATTTCTGCACTATTATCCCCCTATTATAACGACGTCGATTGGTTTAAAACGAGGGATATTTTTTTGGCTAATTATCCGATAAATTAGCTTGTTGAAATCGTTTTAAGAGCCTTAAAGTTATAAAAATTCGGTAATTTTAATGAATTTTTGATGTTATTTATCCTTATTTTCTTCTCTGGAGTCGAGAGTTGTTTAAGTCAGTGTTTTTCAACCTGTGGGTCGCGACCCCCTGGGGGTCGCGAAGCCTTACACGGGGGGTCGCGGGTAGAAGAATAAGACAAGAGTTTGTAGGTCCTACACTACATTAAAAAAACTACAATTTCAGCGAGAATTACGGCCCACCTCGGAAAATGGTAGCGGAAAAAGTGTTGAGCTGATTTGCAAAAGGAAATAAAAAGTAGAAAAGTAGAAGCTGAAAATTCAGATCCTAAAAAAAAAAAGTCAACAGTTCCCTGTGCCTAATGTTATAATTAAAGGAAGTTTCATACTTTATGTGTTAAATTATTGTCGATTCTTCTGAAATTTTCATTTTAATCAACAACAATTTGTCTCAACAGAAAGAAAATTAAATACATAGTTTTTAAAATCACTGATATAGTTTTAATATGGCCCTAGGGGGTGGCCAGAATTTTTTAACTTGTAAAGGGGTCGCATATTCAAAAAGGTTGAAAAACACTGGTGTAAGTGATATTTGTGTTGTGTTATTACTATGGTGTGTTGATATTTATCTCAATTTTTCCATCGTTATACGTTGATGAAATGCTGAATAATTTGTTGAATTCTCGACAGAAAATATCAAATTTCACTGCCTAAAAAAATACAGGAGTTGAATAATAATAATATAATTTAAAAAATAATAAATTCCTCTCACCGAATTATATACATTTTAGAAAAAAAACAACAACAATATGGCGTCGATTATCCGCTAGAAAATTACAATTTTTATGGAGAAAAATTAGTAAAAAATTGTAAAAAATTATAAAAAAATCAATCATTTATATTTTATAACAAATTAATATAAAAAAATAATATATTTTACTACATAAAGGATCGTAGTTTAACCATAGACGAGTATAGTGAATAGCATAATATATAGGGCCTATATATAAATATTTTTAGTATAAATATGCGGTGTTAAATGTTATATTTACTGAAAGAAAATGATTTTTAAGTTTAAAAAATCGCAATAAATTATGTGAAAAAATTTTAAAAAAAGGAATTGGAAGAGGATATCTATTTTTTCAGATGAGTGAGTGATGTAGAATATGGGTTATGTGTATATTTTTGTAACGTAATCAAAGTTTCGAGTTACTCTAAACAGAGTAGAATGTTTCGTGTATAAAAATAGCACGCAAGCAATCAATTTTTTCCCCTTATATATACATATATAGAGAGGAAGGAAGAGGGGAATAATTTGCAAGTAGAATATAGAGGGGTGCAAAAGTAAGAACAGTGAAACTTATCAAAAACGGGAAAATTCTATGAAATGGAGCGATTTTTCTGTGTTAAAAAGAACCTGTTCAGAATGGAAACCTGTCTAAATGAGTAAAATGCTTCCTCGAAACGAAGCGATTTTCTATGTTAAAATAGATCTGTTTGAAGCGGAAATCTGAGAAATATTCTTCGGAACCGAACGATTTTCTATGTTAAATAAACCTGTTCAAAATAGAAAACCTGTCTAAACCGGAAAAATTATTCGAAATTTTTTTCTGTTTAAAAAAAACCTTTTCAAGCCAGAAAAAAAATTCGGTACCGCGCGATTCCGACCGATTTATACAGGCTACGCTAAAGTCTGCACCGCTCCCAAAGCTCTTAAAGTATTAAAAAATAAAATATAAAAAAAGCATCCCGGAATTCGAGAGATGCGCGTGTAGCCTTAAAAATAAAATTTAAAAAAATTGTTTTTAGCTTTTTTTTATTAAAAATTCCGGATTATTTTCCGAATTTTCGGAAATTAATATTACGGAAAAAATATTTTTTAAAAGAAAATGAAAATTTCTTCTATGGTTATATTTAAAATGAAGTAGAAAAGTAAGGAAAAAAGATCAGATTCTGGAGACAGTCGCTATGGCAACGGATGAACATTTTTGTTCTCTGACGTCATTCTGTGATAAGTCGAGACATCTGCTATTGAAACTGTACGTGGTCAATTTTATTTTAAATAATTTAGTGTATGAATTATGAGCTTGGTCATGAGCATTTTATTTTACTTATTTTTATTTATTTATTTTTTGTATACTTGCAGCTGATGTGAATAAAGTTTTTTTTTATTTATCCTCCGGAAATGGAAGCGTATCAATGGAAAAATCGTGTAAAATTCATCACTAAGTACATGTTTGGTAAGTTAAAAAACTAAAAGATGCAAATAAAATTTATTATTTTTTTAGATTTAATTGTTATAAACCATGCATTGTCTCGTAAAATACGTGACAGAGATGGTCGAGGTGTTAAGGCATCTGACTACTGCGTTGGGGATCCGAATTCGAATCCCAGTAGTTGGGAACATTTTTAGGGGCGGTTTGACTCCTCATTTAGGTGTGGGTTTGTAAAAGACCCTTTTAGTGCCCAGAGAAGGAAATGAATTTAAAAAATATTTATAAAGATTAAATTCAATTCAAATTTTTATTGTTGTTTTGTATTTATTTTTATGTTTTTTTGATGAATTTTTTATTCAAAAATATAAAAACTATTACGTTTTTATGGTAATTCTTTTTCGTAAAAAAAAACATCAATCTGACCTTTAAAAGTGTTTATATTTAACGAAAAAATTTTATCACTTCGTCGTTTATGTCGCCATTTTGTTATGATTTATTATTTACAAATAAAATAAAGTAAGTGTTTTGACTTCGAATTTTTTTATGATAAATAAACAAAAATTTATACGATAAAAAATAAATAAATTTCTTTCTCCTCTCCTCTTCCTTCTGTTACTCCTTCTGCTTCTCCTGTTTTTCTTCCTCCTGTGTGTTCCCCCTGCTCCTCCTGCTTTTCCTGCTTTTCCTGCTTCTTCTTCCTCTTTCTCTTGTTGTTTCCCCTGCTCCTCTTCTTTCGCCTCCTCCTATTGTTCTCCTTGCTCCTCCTCTTCCTCCTCCTCCTTCTTCTCCTCTTCCTCCTCCTTTTTCTCCTTCTTCCCCTCTTTCTCCTCCTCCTCTTCTTCTTCTTCTTCTTATTATTTTTTAAAATTTTGTGTAAATATCTAAGCTGTTAATTTTATATTTTTACGAAGACTGACGACTTTTCTTTGAAGTAAAATTCAATAAAAAAAAAGGAAAAGTAAAGAAGTTTAGCTAAAAAAGCTTTGTCAACAATAATAACGTGACATTTCTGGACCTATTAAAGAGACAATTAGAGGGAAAAAAGTCAACATATTGAAGAAAAAAAAACATCATTTTTTATCAATTAGAGTAGCTATCTCTTTGATAGAAAACATAAAGATCTATACAATACACAAT